CGACGAACGTTTTCGCCGATCGCGTTACGACTCTGTACGGACCGTCGTATGGCTGTTGAAGCGGCTGCTTGGGACCGTCGTGGCGTACAAAAACTTGTTCGGACGTGGCGAGATCTTTAAAAATGAAGGTCTTCTTTGCTCCATGTCGTGTTCCCTCACATGGCTTCAAGTTACGCACGTGTTGACGTAACTCTTTGACGAAGTTTGCGGTGCTGTTGTCTGCGCTGTTTTCGTCGCGTGGGATGCCTAGGAATTCACCGGGCAGGCGGAGAGGTTGGCCATATACGAGCTCCGCGGAGGAACCCTGGAAGTCTTCTTTCCATGCTGCTCGAATGCCGAGCATGACGGTGGATAGGGCTTCAGTCCAGCGATTATTCTGGTGGCACATGATTGCCGCTTTTAACTGTCGGTGTAGGCGTTCAACCATTCCGTTGGCTGAGGGGTGGTAGGCTGTAGTTCTCAAATGAGTGGTTCCTAATAAACAATTTAGTTGTTTAAATAGGTACGACTCGAATTGTCTACCTTGGTCGGTGGTTATTCGTAGCGGGGTGCCGAATCGTGCGATCCATGTGTCGTAAAAAGCTCGTGCCACGGTTGCTGCTTCCTGGTCGCTAATGGGTACGGCTTCTGGCCAGCGGGTGTACCGATCTACCATGGTAAGGCAGTAACGATAACCCTCTGAGTGTGGCATAATTACTATGTCCAAGTGCACGTGCTCAAACCTCGCTGATGGTGGCGAGAATGTACCGATGGGCGAAGAGACATGGCGTGAGATTTTCGAACGCTGACACTCTACGCAGTTGCGGGCCCATTCTCGACAATCTGATTTGACCGATGGCCAGACGTAACGTTGCGTCACCAGTTTTACGGTGGCTTTAACGCCTGGATGGGATAGACGATGAATCGACTCGAATGCAGCTCGGCGAAATGACTCGGTGACGTAAGGACGCGCTGTTCGCGTGGAGACGTCGCAGAGTACCGATACGTCGCAGCCTGGGATTCGTACCAGTTTGAGCTGCAGGCCTGTATTACCTGTTCGAAATCTCTCGAGTTCCTCATCCTGCTGTTGTGCTGCTGCCAGAGCTTGGAAATCAATCGAGGTTTCCACAGCCTCGATGCGAGAAAGAGTATCTGCGACAACATTTTCGTTCCCTGCTATGTGGCGAATGTCAGTCGTGAATTGACTGATGAAGTCCAGGTGTCGTATTTGGCGGGGCGAGGACTCGGTATTCTTCTTCTGAAAGGCGTACGTGATCGGCTTGTGGTCTGTATAAATGGTGAAAGACCGCGCCTCTACCATATGCCTAAAATGTTTGACTGCGAGATAAATGGCTAGTAGTTCTCGATCATAAGCCCCGTAGTTTGACTCGGTGGGACTCAGTTTTTTGGAAAAGAAGTCCAACGGTTGCCAGTGACCGTCAACCTTCTGCTGGAGGACTGCTCCGACGGCGAAATCTGACGCGTCCGAAAAAATAGCCAATGGTGCGTTTGGCTCGGGATGTGCCAATAATGTGGCTCCGGCGAGGCTCTCCTTGCACGCCTCGAATGCGGCCACCGTTGCTGGTGTCGAGTTGACCGGGGTTTTTCCTTTGACGTTGCCCTGGAGGAGGTCGTTCAAAGGTGCTTGAGTCTCTGCCGCCTTAGGTAGGAATCTTCTGAAAAAATTCAACATACCCAAGAACTGACGCAACTTTTTTATTGTATTTGGCTGCGGGAAGCTGCGGATTGCTTCGACCTTTTCTGGAAGTGGACGTGTACCAGCGCCGGAAACGAGATATCCTAAGAATTTGACCTCTGGCTGGCCGAAGACGCATTTCATGGGATTGATAACGACGCCGTACTCTCTCAAACGCTGAAACACAGTTTCCAAGTGCTGGAGGTGTTCTTCTGGTGATGCGGATGCGACGAGGATGTCGTCGATGTATGCATAGCAAAAATCGAGACCCTGCAACACCTCGTCCATGAATCGCTGGAACGTCTGCGCTGCGTTACGTAAGCCGAACGTCATGAATTGAAATTCAAACAAGCCGAATGGGGTGGTAATGGCAGTCTTCGGAACGTCTTCTTCTGCGACCGGGATCTGGTTGAATGCGCGTACCAGATCGATCGTTGAAAATATGATTTTGCCGTGTAAGGATTGCGCAAAATCTTGGATGTGCCTCACCGGGTACCTGTCGGGGCAGGTTCTCGCGTTGAGGGCACGATAATCTCCGCATGGCCTCCATTCGTCGCCCTTTTTGGGCACCATGTGAAGCGGTGAAGACCATGAACTTTGGGAAGGGCGGGCAATTCCTAGCTGGACCATGGCGTCGAATTCTTTTCTTGCTGCCTGGAGTCGGTCGGGCGCGAGTCTTCGGGGACGTTGCGCAATGGGAGGGCCCGGCGTGGTTACGATGTGGTGGCGGGTGGAATGTTTCACCGCCTTAGGGGTTCCGTCTGGACGTGTGACATCGGGAAACCGTTGGAGGAGTTCGTGGAACGGTGAACTTCCGGCGATGGTTTTTACGGACGGGATCTCACACTCAGTCACCTCTCCGATGGAAGTGAGTTGGGTAATTTGATCGTGTAGTCGCTGGTTTCTTATGTCCACCAGGAGTCCGTAGTGAGCCAGGAAGTCGGCTCCGATAATGGGTTTCACCACGTCCGCGACAACAAATCTCCACGTAAAATCGCGTCGTAAGCCTAAATTCAACGACAACGTGATTGTTCCGTACGTTGCGATGACGGTGCCGTTTGCCGCGGAAAGTTCATATGCGGACTTCGTACGCGGTTTTGGTAGCAGGGCATGCGGGAACACACACAGATCGGCGCCGGTGTCGATGAGGAATTTTTTGCCTGTTGTCCTCTCGGTGACGAATAAACGGCTCGATGTTGTTGTAGGGGTGGTGGGGCAGGCGTCAATGGCCGTCTTTAACGACTGCCCTCGGCGTTTCCCGCCGGTAGGGAACTGTACCTACACGGCTTGTCGCATCTTCTTGATTTGTCGCCGAAACGCCAGTGGTACCAGCAAATACCGCTGTCGCCTTTTATTCGATCACGGGATCCCGATCGCGAACGCGAACGCGATGATGATGATGTGCCTGGCCGCGAGTCCGGTCGCGAACGGTCTTGAGGCTGCGATATTGGGGAGATCTCAATTGCAGCAAACTTTTGCAAGACGGCCGCCAAGGTGCGTTCCAGTCCGTCTATCCTCGATTGCTCCTGGGTCGATGACGGGGTTGCGGGTGATACGGTTGTCTCGGCTATTTTACCCAGGTTACCATAAGCTTCCGCAACGGAGTCCGCGATCTCGGCTCTCTTATCCAGCGTGAGGTCCTTGTGCGCGGCCAGCAGCGCTTACATGTGTGTGGGCAAGCGTCTCATCCACAGCGTCTGTAGGACCTCTTCTGGGAACTCCGTCCCGGCGAGAACTCGTAGGTGGCGGAGGAACTGCGTGGGTTTGCGGTCCCCAAGTGGACCGTCCTCCAGGAGGCGGCGCGTGTTTTCTTCCTTTGATGTCCCCATCCGTTTGATTAATTCGCGTTTTAGCAGTTCGTATGTCCGCTCGCTTTTGGGCTTTAGGAGTACATCGCGTATCTCGACCGCGTATTTCGCATCCAGGGCGCCGACCGCGTAACCAAATTTAGTGCTTTCTTGCGTAATGCCCGACGCTTCAAAACCACTTTCAAGTAACAGGAACCATAATTCCGGATCCTGGGGCAAAAACGGTGGAACTTTTACGGCAACGCGATCGACTGACGGGCTATTTGTATCGTTTGGCGCCATTGTTTTTGATTTTCTCTCGAAATTCCGCACTCTACTCGTCGCGATCACTGGTAATACTCACGTTTTTTTTCTTCTTTCAATCACGTCGGGGTCACCAGTTGTGGGTATTGTTGGTGATTTAAAAGCGACGGTACGGTTTTGAGATTTTATTTCGTTGTTTACTGTTCGAGGGTGCCAGGGAGAAGAAGGAAGGGTGTTTAAAATGGTACACAGGTAAGCTCGGTTTCGAAGAGGTGGAAGTAGGTAAAAACGGAGTTTAGAAAATTCTAGAAGGGAAAAGAGAAAGTATGTAGGAGCGTAGGGCAGGTAGACGAAGGATAGGAAGTATTTACATTTTTACAATTATTTGAATACGCTCAGGTAGAACACCTGATTTTGTGGGAACGGTTGTTCCTACAGTATTAATATGTCATAATTAAACCGAAAACCGTTTTCCTACAAACATGAGGTTATTAAAAACAAACAAATTGAAGGGACTCTACAGATATTTTGGATTGTTTTGAAATAATTAAAAATAGATTCAAAATAAAATGTAAACAATGTTGGCAATAATATAATAAGATAATAATTTTATGGAACAATCTGTTGTTTCAACACCCTCATTAGGTTCAATAAAATTAAACGCTTTTATTATGCTAGCAGTAGCTAATGATTTCGTTCCAAGGACGTAGCTACTAAATTAACGAATACGTGAAAATGAAAATATTTTGAAAATGGACCGCCATTTTTTTATTGCTATGGGCATCAATTTGTAGTAATTTGTGAATATTATCAACACTCCACTTGGCCAAATCTTTAACACGCCACTTCCTGCAGACCGCTACCCATCAACTGTTTCTGAGGCTCATCATCCACCCCACTCTCGACGTACTTTAGATGTGCAAAACAGTCTAAAATATAATGACCAAAGATCAAACAAGACTGTAGTACTGCACTAGAGTTAAAATTTACTTCCTATAAAAATGACTTCAAACGGAAACTGGTTCAAACTGTGGTTGTTTATTTGTTGTCTTTCACCTAGAGGTAAATATTTTAATTTTTATTTTGATGCACGGACATTAAAGGAAGTAGAATACTTCAAATATTTAAAGAGAATTGACAATTTTGTGACTTTATTTTTTTATTTAATCAGAGGTGAAAGTTGAAATGATAAACTATAAAAACATGGAAATTAGTTTTGTTCACGTTTCGTAGTTAATATTTTTCTACTTTCATAACAAAATGGAACACCATTAAACTTGTTTATTTTAAAATGCAGTTTTGTGAAATGAAAAACTTTATTAACATTAAAGTATTATTAAAATTAAATGTATTCAAGTTGAATACAATTAATTCAAGTCGACACTCGATTTGAGAAACAAAACGGGAAATACAGTGATATTTAGCTATTATAAAATGTGTATCATATCCATGGACGAATAATTATAGTATTGCAATTTATGTTACTCGCACGACTCTTAAATGATGAGAATATAAGTGACACGTAGCCTTTCACATATATTTTTTTAGGTATTTTTGCACTACGCAATGTTCACATCGTAGCACCTTCAGCAGTAAATAGGGGAAGCGATGTAACTTTAACTTGTTTTTATGATATGGACGGTGAAGAATTGTACAGTGTTAAATGGTACTTAAACAAAATAGAATTTTTTCGTTATATGCCTAGAAATTGGCCATATACACACCACTTCCCTGCGTATAATGATCAACGTGTGGAACAAGTGGTTACTAATTCAAATTTTACTTCTGTGGTTATAATATACGTCTCCAGGAAGGCTAGTGGACTTTATACCTGTGAGGTTTCAGGCGACGCACCATCTTTTGCAACTTCTGCATCTCAGTCTCAACTTCAGGTATGCATTTAAATCAAGTAGGTACGATTTGGAACTGGCGTATGATGTCAAGGAGTTATACCGTAGCAAGGGTATCAGGTCTCAGATTATTTCAAAAGCAGTATTCCTTATTTATCTTGTCAGTTACAGTCGAACAGACTATAGTCGACTATAATCGACTACAGTCGTCCAATGTTATTTACATCCTCTAAGTACACTTAGGGGATGTAAATAACCTTGGACATACAATATAAAACAAAAAATTGTATTAAGAAATTCTCGTTTTTCCTTTAATTACAAAAATTAAGAAATATTTTTTTGCATTCAAACAGAAATAATCATAAATTGAGTGACCGTTGGTAGTCCCCGTTTTCTGTTCTGAGTTTATGGTTTCTTAGAATAAGGTGTCAATGCGAATTCGAGTCCTCGATAGCAGAGGTGCCGTTAGCACTGTTTTCTTTGATATTTCTATGTGTATAGTTTGTTGTGAATTATGTCTTCTTTATAATTGCTTAAACAGATCAAATCAAGGATGGCCATTTTTCCAAATATTTTTGTGTTATCAAAATTATAAGGGGAAAATTAACCCTTATCCAACTTTTTTAGACGCTACTGAAGGATAAATAGGTAAAATTAATTTATTTTAGTAAATCCTAGCAACTGTAACAATAAAACTTTTGTCAAGACTAATGTTGCTATAGAAACGAAAGATGATCTTCTTATCAGAGGCGTACAACGAATTTGGACATAAGTTTTAATCATTTTTATCTCTAAAAGGAGAACACTTTTACCTGAACTTTTTTTACTTTTAGCACCCATACTTCGAGACCAATTGCCGATTTTATTTTGTACGCACCTTTCAATAACACGCTGTATATCTTTGCTAATATGTTGATGTCATCACAAAATTTTGTAATGGAAAACTCACGTCAAGCGTACGCATAGGATGGTTTATTTTTATATTTACTGTATCTCTAATCAAATTTTATAATTTTTTGAAAAATGTACTGTAATTCAGGGGTGAGTAAAGTTCTGTCTAAATAACTTTAGATTATTTTTGGTACAGGTAGTTGTAACGCCTGAAGAAGATCCATATATAGAGACCGATAAACTAACATATAATTCTGGAGAAACTGTCACCGCCAGGTGTATTTCATATCATTCGAATCCTGCTGTTAATATAACATGGAATACTGAATTAATTACTGAGGCTGAAAATGTCGAGTACAATGTCACCAGAGATTTCTATTATACGTAAGCACAGTTAGCAAATCTGAAATGCATTAACATGTTAAGTAACTAGTAGGAGCCAATTGCATTAAATATTTTTATAATAATTTAATATGAGTTTATTTATTACGCGAACAGTGGTTTCTACTATAAATACCTAAACATAACATACATATTATTTTAATATTGTAATCTTATTATATTATTTATATTTAAAATTGTAGGACGCAGTCAGAGGTGAAAATAAAGATCCCTGAATCATTTACGAAACATACTTTGAAAATAAGTTGCTTATCCAAAATGTACGACGCATATAACGGAACTGGTGAGAAGATTGTTAAAGTTGAGACCCAAGCGTCTTCAGAACTGAAACCGAAAGAAAGTGGCACTGTACTACATAATAAAGCGAAGTTACACAAACATTGGAAAAACTGTATAATGAAAAGTTACAAATCTTACTTTCGCTGTTTATTTGAGATATTTTACTCATTTTAATTACAAAATTTTGGTTCATTTATTTTTCAGAGTTCGTTCAAGACAAATATTTTGAGTTATAACGTACATTGGTATATATCTATCATTTCCTAAAATATACATATACCATATACCTACCACATGAAGCACAGAGAATGTTCGTTATAGTTTTTGTACTCATTAATGACTTGTAACTACTGTTATTATTAATAAAGGAGCTACCCGTTGCCTAGGGTTAAGCAGTATTATTGTGATATTTTTTCCTCCTTGCCATACCTAGGAAAAATGTAGCACGACCAGTGTTGCCAGAGTTAAATGGTAAAATTCCGTTACATGTCGTAGAAAATTCCGCAACAGGCTGCTTTTAGAGCTGAAAATTGTCATTTATAAACTCCCTTACCAAGTTGCCGTCGATAGTAGCTTTGATGTTCAACTTTTGCTGTATTTAAAGGACTAGACTTGAGGAAGAAAAGTGGCGGATTTAAGTTGATTACTACAAAAATTTACCATTTTAGACATATTTTAAGTTTTTTGTTGTCGAAATAAGTCTACACATATTAAGAGAAAAAGGCAAAATGTAGCCCCGCCCATCCGCCCTTTCTCAGTTGTGATGATTTTGTTTTTGAGTATCGTGTTGTTCAAAGAATGCTATATACCTATATTAAGAAAGAACTAAAGCCAAAGATGAAGCCCCACCCATACCTACCCGCCCCGATCTAAATAGTAATGAAGTTTTCATTCGTTGGCAGACCTAGGGGGCGAGCCTAACTACAAAGTCCATATTTCCCTACAAAAATTTACCATTTTAAACGTATTTTAAGTTTCCAGCAATTAAAAAAATCATCACTAGAGAGATGGGGTGGGTGGGCGGATTTAATATTTTGCCTTTTTATTTCCTGGGCATAAGCAAAGGAAATATTGTAATCGAGTCCGTCGGCCGACTCTCTACTTTTACGGTTTCTCGACCTTTCATGACCCCTAGAGTACGAAGAAATAGGTCTCCCGTTTCAGTTTGTTTGTCTGCCGAACCGGATTTTTATTTGACAGATGATCTCCGAAAGTACTGGGCCGATTGTCGTTAAATTTTGCATTTATATTAGGAATATCATGTAGATGGTAAAACGCTAACCAAAATTTGTGTAATCATCCCCATCACCAATGCGATGACATCAGTGACGTCACTTCAAAATTGTACATAGTAAATGGGCTTTACTTTGTATAAAATAACATAGCCCTACACATGTAGTTTATGACTCGAATTGAGTTTTTACCAGAAATGTCCACATTTTTGGGAAAAAATTCAAAATTATGAAACAACATTTTGCAATTTAATTTTGAATCTGCAAAACCGAATGCTTTGAAATCTTGCAGATGGTTCACAGTTATGATAAGCATGATACATTTTTAATCAAAATATATTTACTTATCCCCTCCAAAAAATTGATGATGTCAGCCCAAAAGTTTGCTGAAAAAATCCTATCTTAAATGTATAAAATTTAAAATATGATGAGTCTGTAGGTACTCGTGATTTATCATTCCATGCATATTTTTGGATTTGTATATATAGGGTGACTCAAAAAATTAATGAATGCGTGAATTGATGAGGTTATCTGAAAATTTTGACGAATAAATTTTACTCAAAATGTGCAAAATATGGTGAGTTTTTACTTGTTATTCATCTTTGCATTCATAATTTTTTTGATCAAACTAAGAAGGAGTCACCCCCTTTTTCCCGAAAATGTGAAAATACAAACGTCTTTAATAATACGAATTATAATAATGATATTCAGAACATTTTGTCAGCTGTAACTTACTAACTAACTAGTTAATTGTCTTGATTCTATGTTTTGAGGGGACGAACTCATTCAAATCATACGAATTTCTACGTGACATTCTTCCGATGTAAAAACATAAACACTTTCAAGTTGTTTATCTTATCGAGAATAACCTAAGGACGTACAGTAATGGAGTCCATTGCTCAATTTGGTATTTTCAAATTTTCTGGATATTTCATGAGGCTGTAGCTAGGGGGAGGCTAGAGGATGCTCCCCTAGATCTAGAGAAGTTATAATTAACCAAATGTGAATTACAGCATCCAAAAACCAAATAAAATGTAGTGTTTTATACAATGAACGGAAGTCAAAGCAGTAAGAAAGTCTGGACCGTCGGTATTGTCATCCGGTTATTGCAATTCGTAGAAAACATGTTTTAGCTTAGTTTGTGTTTCACCGTCACGTTTGCAGGTTGATAAGTGTTATGTTCACGCCTGACAATTTTTGCATAGGCAACATATTATACACCCCAGAGACGACTTCGTCCAATTTAAGTTATTTTTAATAAGCAATCATAACAATCACAGAAAAAAATGACATAGATGTCAATGCCAAATAATGACAAAATTAAAAAAATTAATCCTCAATTTATTTTAAAATGCCCCGACGCAAAAAACATATTAGGCATGCAGACAGCGAGGGAAATACTGTCTAAACTCTTTCGACTAATTTTTTTTTTTAATATATATAGTATTCTCTGAACAACACGATACACAAAATCATGTTTTTAATTTCTTGTAAAGAAATAAGAATTTTTGCAATTAAGCTTCGTCCCCTTGGTTCACGGCGAATAAAAAAAAACATCACAATTGATAGGGCGGGTGGGAGGGCCTACATTATTCCTTTTTTGTTTTAATATTGTAAGGATCCAATTCGAATTTTTAAATTTCAAATGAATTTCGCGCGCACAAGAAACGGTTGGTAAGAAGAAGAGGTTGGCAACCAACCACCCCAAAGAAACAGACGTGCGCAAAGCGAGGGTGGTATTGTCTTGAAAAATGAGTCACTTCCTTTTGATCGCTTCGAGAGAACAGACGACTTCCTTCGAGCGCTTCGAGCAACAGGTTGTATTTTTATCTGTGAATTATTCTGTGCCTTTTGCTGTTGTTTTTGCGGTTCCAGTGTTGATCTGTTCCATTGGAAAACCTAGCAGCCCCCGTTGAGCCATTGGGTGTTCCTGATTTCTCATCGTTCTTACGACGAGGTTTTTGCGTTCCTGTTGGCGGTAAGCCGTGTCGAAATCTTCGCATCTTTGGAGAGGTATGTTTTGAACACCTGTTTTGGACTGGGTCCTGTTTTGCGGCGAGTTTTAAGCCCCGCCGGTGCTTCTGACCTCGTGACACAGCGACGCGTGCGTTTTTTTCCACTAATCTCGTTTTTTTATCTTTCATTTAAAATCCATCGCAGTAGGGCTTTACAGGAAGTGATTTCTAGTTCGGGCCATGCTTTATTTAGCTATATTTGTGAAATCTGTATTTTGGATGGCCGCAAACGAGTTGTTATTCTCACCGTTCTTTGTTCAGGCAGCGGCCATTTTGAAGCGTCCATTTGTTTCTTTTAATCGAGCACATGTTTTAACTGAATCTATTGAACAAAATAACAACATTGTGGGTCATGGGGGGGACGTGCCTTTATTCTTTGGATTTAGCACATTGTTTATACAACGCCACAGGATTCATCGTATTTTTGCATCGCACATTTTCGACGCCTATTATTTGGAATGACGAATTCGTCCAACGCCATTTTGCAACTGCAGCTTGTCTGCCATGTTTGTTTATGTGTTTTGTTTGGGGAAATGTATGTGTAATAATGGCCCACAATGCAGCTAAATAATTTCACGTTTGAATTTTAACCAATAACTTGACTGGACACGAATTAATATTAATCACATGTAAATCTGTTAACTTTACAATCTTTCACCTCATGCAATTTGTCTTTGTCTCACAATTTTAGCTTCAGTAATTTTCTTTGCTGTATAATTTGAATTGAACGTAAATTTCCATGCTCTGCAGTTTTGACCTAACATGATATTTAATTTGTACAAGCTTATTTCACACCAGATCTTGTTTTTATAAATCTTTGCTAAGTTTTGATTTAATAAATGTTTTGTTGATAAATGTTTCTATCATGTAAATTATCTGATGTCCAAATTTAACCTCAATTAGGAATTATTTGTTGTTGAATTTTCGTAAGAGTGTGTGGCGAATTTAAGTGTTGTGTATTGCTCATTGTTGAAACTTTAACACTTGTTCGGTTGTCATTTAATATTAGAGTCATAGAAATTGAACATTTAAATGAAATTGAAGGTAAATAACACGTAACTCGTAGTGTACGTGGGGCGCGCGACTTCTTCTCAAACTGACGGGATTAATCGCGTCACCTGCACAAGTCCGCGGGTTTTGTATAGCTTCAGTGGGGCGGTCGCGGGTTTTTAACGCTGCCGGTTTCGTGATAGCCGGGACCCCACTACGGATCTGCGATCGTAACCGCCTCGTTTCGCAGGGCACGTTCGTAATGGAGAGATGCGTGTGAGCAGGCGTTGGTGTAGATAGAATCACCGTCGTGAGGGAGAACAGTGATGATCAGGAGTCCCAACCTCCACTTGCGTTACAACGCCCCCTCTGGGTATTTTGCTGTGCTCGTAAATGAAATTGATATATTTTGTTCTATTTTGTTCGATCGCCACACTCTCATAATGATTCGGGTTCTGCCATCCAATTTACATATGTGTAGGTCTTGTGTTTGTTCGGTTTTCATATGTGTATGTCTGTCAATTCGCGAGTGTTTTTCGTTCACATATCTTAAGGTGTTTGACATGTAATATGTCGGTGAATAAAACCCCAGGGGGTTTTGGGGAGCGAAGACCGATGACACCTTGGCCCTGCGGACTCGCCAGAAGGGCAAATTGAGCCGTTGTCGCTCTTCGTTTCTTTTTCCCCCTTAGGAAGGCTTTTGACCAACCTAATTTTGTCTATTTTTTCTTGCGCTCTCGACCGTGTATGCACTTGTATGAAAGAACGTCTTCCCGCCATTTCTCAAAAACACAAAAAAAAAAAACACACAACGTAGGTTCTCATTTGTTAGACGATCACAGCCAAGGCCAAACTTTGAATTTTTGAATTTTTCGCGGGCCTTTCAAACTGTTTCGAGGTCAAATTTTAAGGAAAGATCGATTTTGCAATTAGGCTGCGCCCCTTAATAATTGCAAAATCCATATTTCCTTGCAAAAATGTACTATCTTATTTTAAACATGTTTTAAGTTTCTTGTTGTGAAAAGTTCGCTATGTATATTAAGAAAAAAAAGGCAAAATATGTATTAACCCAGCCCACCCACCGCGTTTCAATTCTGATGATTTTTTTTGTTCGTCGTAAGCCGAAGGTTGGAGCTTAATTGTAAAATCCTTATTTTCTACGAGAAATTGTCATGGAAATATGTTCTTAAGTAATCGTGTTATACAAAGAAAACTAAATGTATTCATTAAAAAAGAAAACCAAAAGAGAAGCCCCACCCATTCGTCTCGATTTCAATCGTGATGAATTTTTCATTTGTTGTTAGACCGTGGGGCAAAGTCGATATTTCCCTATACAAATTTAGCATTTTTAACATGTTGTAAGTTTCTTGTTATTAAAAGATGACTTCACATTGTGATAACCCAAACTTCCCGCCTCTAAAATTTGACCTTGAAACAGTTTGAGAGGCCCGCGAAAAATTCAAAAATTCAAAGTTTGGCCTTGGCTGTGATCGTCTAACAAATGAGAACCTACGTTGTGTGTTTTTTTTTTTGTTTTGAAAAATGGCGGGAAGAAGTTCTTTCATACAAGTGCATACACTGTCGAGAGCGCAAGAAATAATAGAAAAAATTAGGAGCCTTCCTAAGGAGGAAAAAGAAACGAAGAACGACAGACGCTCGATTTGCCCTTCTGGCAAGTCCGCAGGGCCAAGGTGTCATCGGTCTTCATTCCCCAAAACCCCCTGGGGTTTTATTCACCGACATATTACATGTCAAACACCTTAAGATATGTGAAAGAAAAACACTCGCGAATTGACAGACATACACATATGAAAACCGAACAAACACAAGACCTACACATATGTAAATTGGATGGCAGAAACCGAATCATTATGAGAGTGTGGCGATCGAACAAAATATAGAACAAAATATATCAATTTCATTTACGAGCACAGCAAAATACCCAGAGGGGGCGTTGTAGCGCAAGTGGAGGTTGGGACTCCTGATCGTCACTGTTCTCCCTCACGACGGTGATTCTATCTACACCAAAGCCTGCTCACACGCACATCTCCATTACGAACGTGCCCTGCGAAACGAGGCGGTTACGATCGCAGATCCGTAGTGGGGTCCCGGCTATCACGAAACCGGCAGCGTTAAAAACCCGCGACCGCCCCCTGAAGCTATACAACACCCGCGGGCTTGTGCAGGTGACGCGATTAATCCCGTCAGTTTGAGAAGAAGTCGCGCGCCCCACGTACACTACGAGTTATGTGTCATTTACCTTCAATTTCATTTAAATGTTCAAACTCTATGACTCTAATATTAAATTACCACCGAACAAGTGTTAAAGTTTCAACAAGGAGCAATAAACAACATTTAAATTCGCCATACACTCTTACGGAAATTCAGTCAACAAATAATTCTTAATTGAGATTAAAGTTGGACATCAGATAATTTATATGAGAGAAACATTCATCAACAAAATATTTACATGAGCAAAACTTAGCAAAGATTTATAAAACAAGATCTGGTGTGAAATAAACTTGTGCAAATAAAATATCATGTTAGGTCAAAACTGCAGAGCATGGAAATTTACGTTCAATTCAAATTATACAACAAGGAAAATTACTGAGGCTAAAATTGTGAGATAAAGAAACATTTCATGAGGTGAGACATTACAAAGTTAACAAATTTACATGAGATTAATAATAATTCGTGTCCAGTCAAGTTATTGGTTAAAATTCAAACGTGAATTTATTTAAATGCATTGTGGGCCACTATTACACATACATTTCCCCCAAACAAAACACATAAACAAACATGGCAGACAATCTGCAGTTGCAAAATGGCGTTGGACGAATTCGTCATTCCAAATAATAGGCGTCGAAAATATGCGATGCAAAAATACGATGAATCCTGTGGCGTTGTATAAACGATGTGCTAAATCCAAAGAATAAAGGCACGTCCCCCCATGACCCACAATGTTGTTAATTTGTTCAATAGATTCAGTTAAAACATGTGCTCGGTTAAAAGAAAGAAAATGGACGCTTCAAAATGGCTGCTGCCTGAACAAAGAACGGTGAAAATAACAACTCGTTTGCCGCCATCCAAAATACAGATTTCACAAATATAGCTAAATAAAGCATAGCCCGAACTAGAAATCACTTCCTGTAAAGCCCTACTGCGATGGATTTTAAATGAAAGATAAAAAAACGGGATTAGTGGAAAAACAAGCGCACGCGTCGCTGCGTCACGAGGTCAGAAGCATCGTCGGGGCTTGAATCTCGCCGCGAAACAGGTGTTCAAAACATACCTCTCCAAAGATGCGAAGATTTCGACACGGCTTACCGCCAACAGGAACACAAAAACCTCGTCGTAAGAACGGTGAGAAATCAGGAACACCCAATGGCTCAACGGTGGCTGCTAGGTTTTCCAATGGAACGGACCAACACTGGAAACGCAAAAACAACAGCAAAAGGCACAGAATAATTCACAATCAAAAATACAACCTGTTGCTCGAAGCGCTCGAAAAGAAGTCGACCGTTCTCTCCAAGCGGTCAAAGCGAAGTGGGTGATCTTACACGAGACAAAAACACCCTAACATTTGCGCATGTCTGTTTCTTTGGGGTGGTTGGTTGCCAACCTCTCCTTCTTCTCACTAACCGTTTCTTGTGCGCGCGGAATTCGTTTGAAATTTAAAAATTCGAATTGGATCCTTACAACATATTAAGAAAAAAAGGCAAAGTGTAAGCCTCGCCCACCAGCCCTATCTCAACTGTGATTTTTTATTCGTCATGAACCAATGGGGTGGAGCTTAAATGCAAAATCCTTATTTCTCTACAAGAAACAAAAAACATGTTTTTGAGCATCGTGTTGTTCAAAGAATACTACGTATGTATATTAAGAAAAAAACAGGTGATTGATCAGGGAACAGTTGGTGGTTAAAAATTTCGAAGTTTACACCCGCCATTCGAAATAATATTTTTTATAACTACAATAATGTGCCAAAGTGGACAAAAAAATCACGTCTGGCAACACTGAGCAAGACTAAAGAATGCATGATTGCATGTAATGTGGGGTGCCTACAGGACGTAGATTACAAAAATAAGATTTTTTTGCCCAAGCATCTGCAATGCTATAAATTTTAGACAAACAATTTTCAAAACTCCTAAGTGAGTAATCGAGCCAATTACAGATTATCTATTGATTACTTTTACCTTCATATTTAATTTTATACCTATGGTGGTAGGTGGAACGAAGAAAGCATGATATTGATATTCGTTCAAATAACCGATTCTATTACAACACTTCCCTTTTAATTTACTTTTTTGTTTGTTACAAAAAAACTAATGAGTTCGAACAGTACTTTTTCGTTAAATATTCTTTTAATTTCATGGCTCTTTTTTTTAATGATTCTGCAGACGTTTAACTAAAAAAATTGGTCTAAATAATTTAGATGATACTTTCCTTGCCCTCTGAGGCGTGGCCAATACGTTGTAGAAAGTTGTCAAGGTTTCAAAAAATATAAAACATTAAATTTTATTGCATAGTGTTGAGATTTTTACAATAATGGGTATGCGTAAAGTTAAAAATAATTGGTTTATTCAACCACCTACAAAAAAAAGATACTCTAATAACATTTTTAGCTGTCGTTAACAGATCTTTGAAAATAAAAAAAAATGATACCTACATAAAATGTTATTAATATTGTTTAGTGTTTTCTTGGCAAATTCTACATTTAGATTCTGTTAACTAATTTTTTTTAAGGATAACCCCTATATGCTAAAACAGAATGGAGGCGGATTATTAAACCATCAACAGCAACTGACAAGTTGTGCTATTCATTTAAAATGAAATTTTGTTAAGTATACAAATTTTGCGGTGACATAAATTTTTTGTGTTAATGTATTTTCATGAACATAGTATAATACTAATCACAATAACGTTGCATTTCTATCACTTCAGAAAAATCCTTTGCCACCACCTTGTAATTCTAAACTTTGAGGTAAATATAACGATATAAACATGATATTTACTGCAGCTACTTAAGAGATAAAAATATCCAAAGAAATATAGTAACATTATGACATGTTTAATGAGAGAATGTTAATTTAATTGTTATTTTTGTTGTCACTTGACTAACAGTTTTATAATATGATTGTATTCATTCCATAAGTAAATATATGTATGCATATGCATGGTAAACATTTTATAAACCTATGAAACCAATTCTCTTGAAAAACACACTACAGGTATGTAAAATTCCGAAAAAAAAACCATTATTTTTTTTCAGACCTTTGTATTAAAAAACAACTTAGAAAATACTTACGCTTTATTACACCATTATGTAACAAATAGAAAAATTATGGTAATAGGGCTGTATAATAAACTTAAAACAGAAGTTCACTTACTTATTTGACAAATGGAAAATAAAATACAATAAATTAAATTTATAATCAATGTCTTCTGGCTCGCTTCTTTGACCTGAAATAAAAGTTTTATTACAGCAAAAAAAAAATCAAAATATATTCTTACTTTTTAGGCCCTTTAACAAAACACCAGTCAACACCAATAGTCTGTCCTAAAAGTAGCGAGCCATTTAGAGCTTCTCGTGCGGCATAAGCTTCTTCGTATGTTCCATATTCTATTAACGCATATCCTTTCAAGAACCCTGTACGCCGATCCAAGTTTATGCTGATGTTCTTAATTGGTCCAAATTCTGCAAATTTCTCGCTGAGGTCATCCTCGCTAGCTTCCTCGTGTACTGAAGTAACAAATAAAATCCATCCTTCTACCGCTAAAATAATTAAAGCAAAATTACTGAAGCTTATCTGAAAGTAGTGCATAATGCAAATTACATTTTTGAGGTCCTGGTTCGTCACCGTGATCACCTGCATCTAAACTTTCATAGCCACGAATCTTTTCATGTTCTTTAGCTTCTCCTGGTCCAAATCCACGGCCTTTTCGTTTTACAACTTTATCCTTAAGTCGAAGAACGCTCTCTGTGATTGTTTTTAGGTTAGGAAGAAATAGGTTATGTCGAAAAGTACTTACGATCGCCCTCGTCTTCTACGTCTAATTCTACCGAGTCGTTTATATCTAGTACATCAGCCATTGTTACTGATATTAATTAATTATTTGATAATGAAACAGATTATTCGATTTATATTATAATTTCTTTCTACGGATTCTCCGCTTCGCTGTCACATCAACTCTCAACCTCGCGGCGATTCCGAGAAACAGAATAACAGCACACGCGTCAACGAATTTGAGAGAGAAAGAAGCATACCATGCATTCAAGTTAAAAAGAAATAGTAACAACAGAAACAACAGAGGCAGATTCAAAAATATTATACAGGGCCCCTTTGAATTGGAATCTTCAGTTCGAGCTTTAGTTTAAGAAATTTGTCAAGTAAAACCCCTTTTAAATTTTATAATATAATATTTTTCTATACTTATATGTTTTACCGTTAACATTTTGATAAAAAAAATTGTAACGGTAAAAATTAAATTAAAAAATACAAAAACGACTTATCTGAAGTTGCCAAAAAATTTGTGTTTTGTATCTTTTCCAAAAATCAACTGACATCTGAAAATTTTGTAACAAATGATATCTGGTCTGCGCAAAATAATATGAAAACTCAAAATCGAATAACAAGCGTAACTTAAATAGCTTAACTTAAAAAGCACTGTTTAAATCAATTGCTCTGAAGTGTACATATATCGCTTGCAAAATTTTGATAATCATAAAGTATCCTATATTTGAAATACGAATATATAAAATAATACACGCTTCTGCGTATGGTTTATTTTAATTCACTCATAGTTTTTAGTGTAATATAGGCGTTAACAGAAAAAAAATACAAAGTTGACTTTGATAATATCTAGTTTAACTGAGAAAACAGAATTTTTCAATAGGTATGCAATGAAATTTTCAGATAAATAACTTGTGCACAATTTTTAACAAGCCTAATCGAGAAATGAACCCCATAAAAGCAAATCTTGTTCATTAAAATTAAAAATGAAAATAAAAATTTCTCGAAGCATTTATAAGAGCTCAACTAAAATTGCTGTCCAAAAAATGTTGCTATTTAAAACAAAATACGCCTAGCCGCTTATATAATTCCAACATTCACCGCACACAATTAAACCAATAACTGACTAAAAAAGTAATCATTTAATAGAACTAATGAAAATTGAATCAAACGCTGTGTTATTGCTACATTGGGAAAACGGTGGAAGCGGAAAAACCTAAACCACTAATCTGTAGGTAGTTACTAAGTACAAAAAACCAAAAACTCCGTGACTGGAATTATATGCAGGAGTAATAAAAAATAAAAAATCTAAAGAAATTTAATATTCAACTAGACAGACATTTAATTTTTCGTTTAATTTTGACCTAAATTACATATACACTTATGGATAAAAATGTGGAATAGTTTGCAATTTTCATAAATGTTTCACAAATGCTCAAATGGATTTAAACTTGGACTATATGGTGGCCAATCCACAAGTCTTTCAATTTGAACCTGATCGAGGTAAATCACTATCTTAGCGGCATGGGGACGTGCGTTATACGTGCACTAAACTAATAAAACGAATAAGTAATGATCATTTTTTATTAGTAGGGGAAAGTGTTCCACAATGAAACAAATTATTTAACTTCAACATTGTGGAAGGGATATTTTTAAAAACGTGTTAAATATGCGTTGTTTCAAATCTAGCCGGCAGTTAAGGCATTTATAGGTTACCTTTGGATCAATTAGTCAGAGACGTAACAGTGGATGTTTAGCGTAGGTAGCTTTATAAAAAAATTGTGATAAATTTCCTCAATGAGACAGATATTTTGTTCCACAATGAGACGCTTGTCTCACTGTGGAACAACGTTTACTTGTAGTCGAAATTAAGAAATAACAAAATTTATTCTTCGAATTCAGGTTTAAAATGGCGCGAGGGAGAAAAAGGAAAACAGATAAATGCAATTTTACAGAAGAGCAGATGAAAGTTGCAGTAAATATGGTAATTAATGACATTTTTTTAAGACAAGCAGGTGAAAGAACAGGAATTAAATTTCAAACTGTCCACCGCTATGTAAAAGAACAAAAAAATGCCCGGGAAAATGCTCACATTAGACTGACTCCGAATTATGCTTGTCGTCAAATTTTTAAAGACTCACGAGAGTTGGCGTATGAAGTGGCGGTTGCTAAGGACTTGAATGCATCCATCATGGCGCATCAATAAAAGAGCTGGGTTAGAATGGTTGCATGGTTTTATGTTGCGTCATAAAAATTTGAGCATCAGACAACTAAAAGGATGCAGCCTTTCGAGGGCTACTTCGTTTAACTCACATAATGTTAAACTGTTTTTCAATAAGTTGGAATCAATCTACAAGCGTTCACCTGCATTTGCAGATGGGACCCGTGTGTACAATTTTGATGAGACATTTACTACCACCGTGCAAAAACCACCAAAAATTATTGCGGAAAAAGGAATAAAGCAAGTTAATATGGCAACTAGCGGTGAAAGAGGAATATTGGTTACCACATGTTGCATTGTGAATGCTTCAGGTATCTTCATTCCACTCGAAAAAAAATGTAAACCACATACTTATGTTGTATGGAGCACCATCAGGTACAAAGGGACTTGTTAATCCTACTGGCTGGATGACTGTAGACCGATTTGTGGATGTTATGAATCATTCATTCATTATACGTCTAGCAGTTTAGAAAATCCATCGTTGCTGATTATGGACAACCACGAAAGCCATTTATCGGAATATGTTCTCGATTTGGCAAGAAAGAATGGAGTTAATATCCTGACTGTGCCTCCACATTGTTCACATAGCTTCCAACCCCTAGATCTATACATATATTATTCATTTAAAACATATTATAACGGTGCAATCGAATCGTGGCTATTAAGACACCCTGGTCGACCAATACCTAACAATTTATGAGATAGCAGAATGCGTTGGAGTGGCTTTCGTAAAATCTATGTCACTTAAAATATAATAGCGGGATTTCGAAAAGCAGGAACCTACCCGTTTGATAAAAATGTTTTTACGGACGATGATTTTATCACTAGCAAGGTAACTGAGAGAGACAATCCTGCTGAACAAAATGATGAACAACTTGAAGATCAAGAAATAGAAAAATTAGATGACCAAAAAAGTGGAGCTGATAACATAAATGTCAGTTATGAGGTAGTTACCAGTGAAGGCGGAAACAACACTAAAGGATGTGAAGAATCAAGAAAGACTGAAGAAACTCAGGAAAAAACTTATATAACACCAGAAGATTTGAAAAGATATCCTCAAGCACCAAGCTTAAAAAAAACGAATAGGATGAGAAAAAGAAAAAGCATAATAGCAACAGATACTCCAGAACTAAATGCGATAGAAGAAAAAGCCAAGGAAAAGGAAAGAAAGAAAAATCTTCAATTAAGCAAAAAATATGGTAAAAGAAGTGTGAAAATTAAGCTTTTTTCATCATCTAGTGATGAAAGCGACCATGATACCTATGAACAAACAAATTATTCTGATGAAGTCAGCGACACTGATAAAAATTTTGCCGAGTTAGATCGAGAACCAACTATCGGTGACTTTTTTAGAATTCAACGAACTAAAAACAACGGTTTACTACGTAGGAAAAATTATGAAACAAGAAGAGAATGACTACGAAATTATATTCCTCAGGAAAAGTTTAAAATCCCTCAATAGTTTTGTTTTTCCTCTACTAGAAGACATAAGCCTAGTTCCCAAAAAGGATGTAAAAAAGATTCTGTCCTAATATTTGGTGATAGGGAGAATTAAAAGACAACAGTCTCTTATTCGTTTTGAAGTAGATTTATCATCATTGAACATTCGTTAAAACATGATTAAACTATTTTTATATTATAGAATTTATTTTCATTTGTTATTTTCCTTATTACTATAATGAATGTTCACATTTTCTAATACAAAAATACATTTTTTAGAATTTGAATAGATTTTTTATATAATTAACGTCTGTCTCAAGAATTAAATAAAACAAAAAAATTCATAGCAAAAAAAAAGTAAAAAATATGATACCAATTTGTGTAAAAAAAAATAAATATCAATTTTGTCCCATTGTGGAACACTTTCCCCTACACAGTTTTCTGAATGGGTGTATGAGACAGCAGAGAAGCAAGAAAAAAAGGAGAAACAATAATTAATTCGTGCTGCTGTTTTCAAATTACGTTTGTCACCATCGATGAAATAAAATATCATTTGGTAGTTACAAAATAGATCACTTATTTCCATTTTTAAATAATTGCCTATAAAATGGAAGATTGTAAAGTTGCCTTACACTGCCTTGTATCTGAAATTAAAGAATCCTGGATATATGCCTAGCCATGTGTTCGTATGTTAGATAATGCGTACACTACACAAACTTATTTATTAATGAATTTAATATTATTATCAGCGAAAGAAGCAAGCTCTGTTTAGAAAATCAGTTTTAATGCTGGTTTCATTCATTAGTAATTGTGTAAGAGTCTACAGGTGTTTCTTTTATTTGATACAACCCCTGTAACTTTTTATTCTTAAAGATAAACCTGTAGTTCTTTGAGCAAATTTGCATCCTTTAAAAGATCTAAGTGATGGCAACCTCATATTTTTATTATCACTTCCGGTAGAACCGGAAGACTCGTGTCTCCTAAGATAGGAAGGAGATTTTTGGTTGCAGCAGATAAATTTCGCCCAGCTTAACCTGCAATTTAAATGGCACTGTTGTTTCAGTTACCACAATAGAATCTCAAAGGACATTTTATTATTTACATTTTAGTATTTACATTCCCAGGAATATTAAAGCCCAACCTCCTACCTCAGGTCAACTCTAGGGATATGACTGTGGGTAATGTTAAGTATAACATAGGAAGAAGCTAAGAGGAGCTGGTAATAGCATCCGTGGACTTACCACAGGAAGCACATGAACCATGTCCAACATGGGAGATGACGAACTTGGTGAACTACCGTGAGACCGGAAATATAAACCTCATCATCAGTACCGATGCAAATGCCTTCTGTCTGCTGTGGGGGGCAAAGATACTTATGAAAGAGGAAGAACAATAGCTGAATATCTTTTGGCAACAAATCTAGAGATTTCAATCGAGGCTGCGAATCAACTTTCGTAACATCACGTAGTCAGTCAGTAATAGATATTACACTGGCTACATGGAATATCTCACAATATACGTATATTGGAATGGCCCGTCTCTAAAGAGGCGTCAGTGTCAGACCATAGATGGATTATGTATACGTTAAAAAGTGTATAGACATAGAGACAAAGACGTACAGAAACCCTAGGCTGACGAATTGGGCTTTATACAATGAAGAACTGGAAGACAGACTGGAGACTTCTGTACAGTGGATACCAATAGAATAGAAATCGACAGAAGACAGAAAACTTTAACCATTATTAACGACTTTCTAATGCTTATGAGAAAAGTTATTCCCTAAAGAAGGAAGGCCTGGGCAAAGGTACACCATGATGGAACCCAAGGCTCAGCCTACTTCAATCGGAGCTAAGAAAACTTTTTAATAGAGGACAAAACACTCAGAAAACTGGTGACTGCGAAGCCTATAAAGAGCATCGGAAAAAGTTTAAGAAATAATTCAGAAAGAAGAAACGGGAAACGTGAAGATCCTTCTGCAGCGATATAACGTAGACTGCTTCGGCCATAAGGCTGAAGAGAGTTCTCTCGAAGGACCATGCACATCAACTAAGTTAACTGACCTGACTAGGTGGGTGACTGGTATGTTGAGGAATAGGGAAGTAGGTACTGATTAATGTAGGTGGCACTGAGATCGAGGCTGTTGTAGACAGGGGATGTCCCCAGGGAGGAGTACTTTTTCCTGTACTGTGGGACACTGTCGTTTACAGCCTGATACGAAACCTTAATGATTTTGGTTATTACATAATTAAATACATAGATGATCTAGTCATTTTGCCAACAGGAAAAAATGCAGACAGATTTTGTAAAATAATGCAAGTTGCAATAATAATAGTGGAGGAATGGTGTAACAGGTACACCCTCTCCGTAAATGGCGAGAAGACGAAATTAATTCTGTTCACTAGGAGAAGGAAAATTGGCACACTACAGATGCCAAAAATATTTAATACAACGCTTCAATTTTCGAACGAAGTCAAACACCTGAGACTTGTGTTGGACTGGCGACTGAACTGAAAGAAGCATGTAGATGATAAAGTGAAAAAAGCACGCTTGGTAATGTCTTAGGGTGGTGGGAAGATTTTGGGGTTTAAACCTCAAGATCGCCCTCTTTACACGCCACAACTATTGCCGACGGAGTTAGTTTGGTGGCTCAGAGGCAAACAAGAAGCAACAGCACTGCAACTTCACACGTTCAGGGAATGGCATGTCTCAGTGTTATATTATAGGAACAATGAAAACCACTCCCACCGCAGCTTTGAGGACACTTCTTTGCTTTAGTACCTTTTGACCTCTACATAGAGGAAACGGTAATGAGGACGTCTCTAAGACTTCACTTTCTGGGTGTATGGAACAAGCAAGGCCGCATAACGAAGCACACTCGGACCTTGACAAAGATGTTCAGCAGAATACCTCTGTAGAGGATGGCTTGTGATCAAGTGGGCACAAAATTAATATATGAGAAGACATATAGAATATCAATGAATGATAATTCAGAAGGAGGGGCCGACATCTACTCCGAACAACTGAACAAACAAATCAGTGTACCTCTCGGCACCCATACGTCCGTCTTACAAACAGAAGTAATGGGAATAATCCTAGGAGCTAGAATAGTTGCTGAACGCGAAATCGGCAACAAATCAATACCCATAGTCGCATACTACTACCAGTTTAACAAACATCTACATACGATAAGAGTAGTAACAGATCCAACTTGTCGTGGATGAAATGAAGAAGAGGAAACAGCTGAGCACATTCTTCGTGAGTGTCCAGCTCTAGCCTTCTTCAACATACTAGGGACATCTGGCTCAGTATGGCAAAAATCAGGGAGTTCCCACCCTCTGCATTACTCAAGTACATTCAAGCAGTTGGATGGCTTGACGAGTAGAAAAGCGGGAAGACAACCTGATATGAACATGGGGAAGGCACAATGGGCCCAAAGGCAGACCCAAGTGCCGGCTGGCTACGGTCAGCCCCCATATAATTAGAATCTAAAAGTAAAATCCATGATGAAGTATTTCGTGCAACCATCGAATAGTTTTCTGGACAACCATCATGTTGAAACCACATGTTTTGTCGCAGGTCTAAATTCAAATTTTCAAATAATGTTGGAAGTTCATTTTCCAAAATATCTCGGTACATTTCACCATTCAAGTTACCTTTATTAATGTGGCGACTCATTTTTGTTTATTTAAAATGAAAAAGTAGTATTTTTTACTGCAAACGTATTGTAGAATTGTATGCACAAATTTTGTTTATTACAGCGTCATCTGTCATGAATAGAGAGCGGATTTCTGTCGGGCTAGACAAGGCCAAACTCGGTACGGCTCGTACGGGATGGGAATTCATTGCAGTTACCGGCTGCACTTCGTTTATTTGAGATTAGAATAATGCTGCTTCGTTGCACTCTGCTGTTAATTCCAGTTCTCATTTACTTAGCCGTTTGATTAATAAATCGTTAATTGTATTTATGGAATCAAGTGACAATTAAATTCAGTGATTACCTATCACCCGCTACTGAGTCCCGGCGATGCAGCGCGTCCCCACCTATAATCGTGACGTAGCCCGACAGAAATCCGCTGTCTAGTCATGAATATAAAAAAAAATGTTTTAGACAAACCCTACGTATTTTAGCAGTAGAATTCGAATCTGTAATAAAAATTGAATCTCTTTCGAAGACTTGTCTGCAGTACATAAAGAAAATAATCGAGATCAGATGGATGTTGCGTCACTCCCCACTCAACAAAATATCCATCAAAAGCAATAAAAGGAGTTTGCTTGCGTTGTCATCATGTTCGTATTAGGACGCCGTAAATAACTGCTTTGAGTTTTAGGTACCTGCGTAACTGATATGTAAATATGTAAAATAAACAAGATATATTGTTGTTACCTTGCAATTATTTTAAGTTGTGTATAATACAAAAATAAGTATAATATTCTTTTAAATATTCCTAAACAAGTTATAATTTTTTCGCATCTGACAGGAATGTCTTCGTAGGCAAAGAAGTTCGCAAAACGCAAGCATCAAATAAGGAAAGGATTGTCAGACTCAGTACTGCACTATACCTAATTAATAATTAGCTAGTGGATATGATAGAACATCTTTACAATAATCTCACGTTGCATTTTAAATGCCAGGTTTCGAAAATTTATATATTTAAAGAAGTCAAACATTCGTCAAAATAATACGTACAATTTGATTTCCACAGATGCGTTACTTCGTAGTCATGGCAGATGAAAACAATCATAATGAATAAAATATTATGAGTGCTTATAAGTGGACCTTATAAATCTTGGAATGTTGGAGTTTCCCATTCAGTAATATAATGGGAATATAATACACGAGACCAAAATAAAATAACAAAAATGTTATGTCTTTGAAAATAACTAATTAATAGCATTACTTCCATATAAAAAAATGTAGGTTAATATTTATCAACAAATAAATTATCTGGTTTCTTATTTCAATTATTTTGTTTATGCATTTAAAAATATTATCAGTTACAATAATTCCAGCTAAAACCAATACTGTTTTTATCACTATGAATTCCCACGTAAACTGCTGTTGCTGGTTCTTCGAATTATGTTAAATAAGTTAGGTATAAATCATAGGCACAACACCGCTACTTCCAGTCAACAAAACAATGTGGTTACGCGTGTTTCTTATTGTTTTCGTGCTTCTGCATTGCGTATTTTCTGCACAAAATGTTGAGGTGTCTACACCTTTTGGGAAAATTTTAGGAACAACATTAACGACTCGGTTAGGTAAAACTATTTATGCTTTTCGAGGAATTCGATATGGGAAACCACCAGTTAATGAACTTCGTTTTAAAGTAAGTTATTTATTTATCAATTTATTTTTAATGTAATCTATAGGTATAACCATATAGGTGCAAGTGCATTTTTAACATTGTAGCCTCCACAACCTGTTGATCCGTGGTCTGGAATCTACAATGCCACTAGCGATGCACCGGTTTGCCCTCAACCTGGTATTACTCCCGTTTCGGAGGACTGTCTATTTCTCAATGTCTACGCAACCAAGGTGCTTTCCTACTGAGATTTATTCCTTTAGAGAGTGGTAATATATCAAACCATAAAATTTATTGAAATAAAAAAACAGGTAAAGCTTAAAGTGTGGTTTTACCCTTAATTTAAGACTTCAAGTAATTGCAGATTAAACATTTTTAACATATTTTTGAAAATGATTCTCTGAACTAACAAATAACTTTAAAATTAAACAAGTAAGCAACGTGAAAACATGTTTAAGTTAAATAAGATTATATTTTCTACTAAACAATCGGTGTTTCAAACAAAAAAGTGATTGCAGCTGAGTTTTTCAAGAAATGTTTTTCATATACTTTTGTTTTATCTGTATAGTAGGACTTTAGTACAACGTCGTGATAAAACCGCATTTTTAAGCTGTGGAATGTTTTCACAGTTCAGTACTTCTAAACAAGATTTCATTGAATTTTCAACACAAAATGTTGTACACTACAATTACAGTTTTTTATTTTAATGAAAACCGGCTAAAGCTTATCGATATCACTGCAATATTATTAACAGCATAAAGAATTCATAGACACTGTTAGAAATCCATTTTTTTTGTAATTAATCCACCTGTGGACCTGTGCATTCTTCGCACAAATGGATCACACTTATTTAAAAACCAAATTGTTCCAGTTTCCTTAGCCTTGAATAAAATTCTTTGTACATACCGCTAATAGTTATTTTCTTGACTGAAGTCGTATTACATTAATTTAATGCGTGTACTATACATCAACAGCACCGATGAGTCTAATTCTAATCTTCGATAAGATTTAAAGGTTAAGGAGGAAAATGGATTTTGCTTCTATAGTCGCAGATTCAAAAGTAAAATATAATTCATGTCTTTAATTTGTATTTAACTATCTTATTATGGTATCGATAAAAATGCTTTGGGGATAGTTTCCATATTACGTTTTTTCCCTTTACTAGTAACATTATTGGATTAAAATTGCAACTTGCAGCTACCTGCTGGAAAAAACAACCCTAAACGTCCAGTAATAATACATTTGCACCCTGGAGGGTTTTATAGCGTCACTGGCCGCAGCAACTGGGCCGGACCGCAATACTTCATGGATCAAGATATAGTTATGGTAACTTTAAATTATCGGTTAGCTACGTTGGGTTTTATTAGTGTTGGCAAAGAAGCACCTGGAAATAACGGACTAAGAGATCAAGTAATAGCAATGAAGTGGGTTCAGAATAATATAGCATCATTTGGTGGAGATCCAAATTCTGTTACCCTCTATGGATACAGTGCAGGTGCTTGGAGTATCACTCTCCATATGGTTTCTCCAATGTCGCGTGGTTTATTCCACAAAGCTATTCTTGGCAGCGGATCTGCACTGGGACATTGGCCTTTGCCTAGACATCAGCTGGATTTAGCCAAAAAACAGGCTAGGATTTTAGGGTGTCCAGATGATAATGCAACAGTAGTAATAGATTGTCTAAGAAAAACACCTGCAGAAGAATTAGGAAACTCTTTTTTCCAGTTTGCCGTAAGTAAAAGTGTCATAATTTTAAATGTAAATTTTTGATAAATATTGTAGGAATTTGGTACCGATCCTATACTTCTTTGGTCACCAGTTATTGAAGAAGATTTCGGTCAAGAACGATTTCTTCCAGATAATCCAATTAAATTAATTAAAAGTGGAAAGTTTGAACAAGTTCCTGTAATAGCAGGAATTACCAAAGATGAGTTTGCTCAAAGAGCTTTTCGTAAGTGACCAAACTACTTAATGTGTTATGTGTTTCTTTTAACTTTTTATTTAAATATTTTAGCAATATTATCTAATGATAGCTTACTGCAACAAGTCAACAACGATTTTGAAAGATACGCACCACTTATGTTTATTTACGAAAGGGGGACCAGTAAGTCAAAGGAAGTCAGTAGAAGTGTACGTCAGTTTTACTTTGGTGTCGATCCTATAACTAATGCATCATTGCAAAATTTAGAAAATGTAATTTCTTGAAACTAATTAAAATTTTTAAATACTTATATTCTACAAATTTTAGGCATATTCTGATTCTATCGTAGGGTTTCCAGCCAACAGAGCTGTTGATTTAATATCTACATACAGCAGTAAGCCTGTATACTATTACCTGTTTACGTATCAAGGACGATATAGTCATTTTTATCTTCCTGGCTCTAACGGAACTATACCAAACGGTAAACTACAGATAGTAAACGTGAAATTTATGTTATAAGTATATATATTTTTTTATTTAAGGTGTGGCTCACCATGACGATTTAATTTATTTGTTCTACATTTCTCCACTATTTCCATTTTTTAATTCTACTGATCCGGAAACTAAAATGGTAGAAACACTGTCTTCATTGTGGGCTAATTTTGCTAATACAGGGTAAGTTCTAAATGTAGTAAATTTAACTTCACGAAATGTTTCTGATGCTTAATTTTTTGTAATAGTGATCCCACTGACTGCAGTCTTAACGAAAACATTGGCAACATTGAATGGATACCGTATGACACAACCACAAAAAAATACTTGGAAATTGGAGAAAAGCTCACACTTAAAGAAAAATTGTTCGAGGATAGATACTCATTTTGGAGGAATTTATATCCACTTTCTTCGAATGTGAAGATTTGAATACAACAAAGATGATTAAAGATTTAAGTTAAAATATGGATTCAGAACTAATTATAAAATACCTTTATTTTTATGCATGTATGTTTGTAATATTTGTAATAATAATCAGAAGAAATTTAACTCTGAATTTTTCGTTCTTCATGTTCGTTATTTCTTCAAGCTACGCATTACGAAAGTGGGCGAAATGTTGAAACCCTTTCCAAACCTGTTACGGTTCCCTCTATAATCTTGTGCACGTCGAAATTTAAAAGGTTTTCTTTGAAAATATTTTAAGCGTGCCAATTCGCTAATAAAATGCTGGGAATATATATATGTATAATTCAAAAAATGTTTTGGAGTATTTTAAGTAGTGCAATGAAAACAAAATCATGCAGAACAAGTTGTAAAGGCCATGTATTTCTGGAGACGACCAACGAGAATTGAATTTTAACGATACTTTTGCACTAGTGCAATATTATCAGATTTGACAAATGTCTGACAGTTTTTCAACGAAAGCATTGAAAGTGATAAATAATAAGATTAATTTCAAATTTTTATCTACAAAAGAAGGTTCCATTCATCTTATGTTACCCAACTTTAGACACAGCACTTAACCGATTCGAATCATTTGTTATTTTAATGTGTTTCGTATCCTACCCAACCTCCACAGCTTAAACTGCAGCTGCTTTTTTATCCATTTCGACATTTCATTTCGCCCTGCCCGAGAGTTTTCGTAAAATACGATAGAATTGTCTTGTTTCCAAAAAGGATTCACCACTGAAAATAGTCTTCGTAAAGTGACGTGATCTCAGCCTTTTATATAATCTCTGTCAAAATGCAATGTATTATGAATAAATAAAACAGGTCTTTTATGGTGTCTTTTTTTAAAACTGGGTCATTGTGCCTTGCTTTTCACTGTTTACGTTGTCATTCCAAAATTTGCATGGTATTAACACATACAGAAAATATTTGGATTTTTCATAATTTTTTCACAAATTGCGTACACCTTTTAATTTTATTGAAATAGAACGTAAAAAATATAGCATTTTTTGAGGAAACAGTAGGCCAAAATACCCCTTGTGCATGGCAGACTCTACATAGCTTTCTTTGGAGTCAAGTTTACGTTGCGCTTCTAAAAATCAACTTTAAGCAGAGCGGATAGGTCACTATACAACAAATGTTCCAGTATAAAACAGATATACCTAACTAACAACGTTCTAGCAGAAAGATTTTTTATATTTTTTTGTAACAACTCAGATTTAATTTATTTGCTCGTAGTTTATAGGACCGCCCATTCTTTATTAGCTAGAATACTAATAAGTTTTTTAAGACTGAAAGCAGAGATTGAACTAAACAGCTGCTTAGATAAATGAGATTAAAATTTAGAATATATTCAATGGTAGTAATTAATCGGGAGTTATTCCAGTTTCAAATGTTACAAATATTTCTTCAAATATTAACATCAGAATCTTCACAAATGTTTTCTTGTCAAGAAAAAATGTTTTACCATCGCCAAAGGTCGTAAAACATTAACATCGTTATTAATTTTTTAAGCAGTATAGTTAGCCATTTGAAAGCTAATCCCACCGCTTGGAAGTACAAGCGCACTCTTGCGGTGGTTGGTTGCCTCCTCACTTACTCCGGTTCCGACCGTACTGATGCAATTGCTTCATACTGATGTTCTTAATCATCCAAAAAAATTTACGATTTCAAGTTGACAAGCGGACAAGCCCCTATATAACTTTCCAGCGCTTACATTCGAATTAGCGATCGCATATATTTACGTTTATTTCGAACGACAAAAACCATCCATGTTGTAAGGAAGTGAATTTTCACGGACCGGAAACCGGGACGCGTACCGACGCGGCCGAGGATAGGGAATTCTGTCTCGAAGCTTCGAAGAAGAAGAGCGAAGTCCTGTGTTCTGTTTAGGAGAAGCCCTAAAAGAACCGACCACCGTAAGTACCGTTTTGGGTTTTCTGGCAGTCGGCTAACCGGTTTTGAGTCGCCGCCACCGAGCGAAAAACTGTACCATAGTCGCCGGTTTTTTTTTCGTTACCGGCAAAAGTGGAAACCGTTGAGCACGTGTCTGGTACCGCCGTCCAGGAGGGAACGATTGTGCCGGACGTGTTATCTTTTTCTATTTTGTAAAGTTATTTAAGACTTAGCCGTAAGATTTATTATTTTAGCTGTGTAGCTGGTGGCAGGGAATAAACCCGATTTATTTTAAACATTTCTTTCCGTTTTATTTATTGTCTTGTTTTCGCGGGCGCTCTCCACCTGGAGATCCGTGTCTTCGGCTTGAGAACAACGCCGGTGCTCCCTCCCCCGAAGAGGGAGCTGGCGCCCGAGCGACAGCCGCTCCTGACCGAAGGCGCCACCCCCGGCGGCGTGAAGGTCGCCACATAAGCCTAGGTCGGCCCGACGGTGTTATTTTATCAACGGCACTAGTCGGCCCAAGCCTTGGCACCCATGGGCGACATTCCGGACCGTTCCACCGGAATTTCGTCGCAATGTTTAGGAATCCCTGGACTTTATAATAAATGACAGTGTTTCCCAGCGGAGAACGTCCAATATCAACGTTAGAACCGCCTCACTAATCCGTCATATCAAGTATCAGAAACTGCGTCGTATCGATTAGGTACTTTGCCAGAATACATGGGGTTACCCATATTTGCTTGCCCCGAAAAATACCGTTAGTGGTATCCTAGATAACTTGAAAAAGGCAACCATGAAGCTCTTTCACAACATGCATAAAACTTTAATGTAGATTTACAACTACTTGCTGTTGCAATTCTCATGTGGTGGAAAACAGCAATCTGAGTTCCAAATAACTTAATTCAACGGGACAAATATTATTATTATTAAACCAGAGCCATCTGGCAGAGGAAAAACCAGTAATGCCCGCGCTATAACAAATCCTGGAAGTCATTCTCTAGTTTAACCTCTTTATTTTGGCGCAATATGTATCATATCTTGACTTAAATATTAGTGCTGACTCAGATAATACAATATAGTAAGGAGTTCTACTCATCAAAAATTCTATTAGTTATAAATTTCTGCCTGAATATGTTGCAAAACTTGTCCTTACTCAATTTTAAAGGATGACGTCTTGTACGTGCGAAAGTATTGAAAGGAAACAGGTGTTTAATCAGGAAATCGATTTTATTCAGAGCTTGGAAGATAGTAACGACGTCAACTCTCTGTCACCTCTCAGAAAGAGAACAAAGATTGATGTAAACAAGTCTTTCATCATATGGTGACCGGTTTCTGTAATATGGGAATCTGGTTGCCCTTCGGTGAACCGATTCCAGACATCGAATGTCCTGCTAAAGTACAGGAGACTAAACACAATTAGTAAATTCAAACCAAGAAACAATATTCTGTTAGCCTTCTTCGTGATTTCTACAATATGTAACCACGACAAATCACTGTTAATCACAAAATTTAAATTAAATACGAATATGTACTAGACAATTTAATATTGCCCATACAGTATGGATGTCTGGGGTTTTTGTTACCATCATATAAAATAGTACCCTTGTCCAAATTTAACGGGACCAACTAATCTTTGGACCAATTATGTATGACATGAAGATCTTACATTAAATTCTGAAAATTACTCTTTTTGTCGTGTATCTCGACGTCATCAACATACATAGCAAACGATGATGTGAGCATATATTTTAAATCAGCCGTGTAGATAATAAAAAGTAAAGGGACGAGTACTGTGTCCTGTAGTACTCTACTCACAACATCAATACTCTTGCTGAACGCATTCCCAACCTTGACAAGGAAAGGTCGCCTACTTAAGAATGAATTTAATCCATTCAAGAAGATTTCCCCGTATACCACAGTGTTGACATTTATGAAGAAGACGATGCTTTGGAACCTTATCAAATGCCGTGGAGAAATCGAGATATATGATATCAAGAGGACATTTGGAGTCTAAGCCCCTTGTCCAGTCAAATAAGCAACAAAGGAAGTTTGACTGGACCGATTTTCCGGGCAAAACCCATGCTGCTCCGGTTGGATAACTTGATGGTCTAGCAGAAACTTACACATCTGGTCATAAATTATAGACTCAATGACTTTAGCCACAATCGACGTAGGACTGCTGCGAAAACAAAGGACTTGCGTATACTCAGTATTTCGTATTTCCGTTCTTAGAAAGGACATTGCTGATACAGTTGTAGAACCAAGGCTCTTAATTTGATTCTTGATGACAGCATGCGGAATCGAAGAACGCACATTAGAGAGAATGATATGGCGTGCTGGGTTCATTATACGACGTACCGCTGCAACTATAACTTTAACTTAAAAATCGTGGGGTGCTCATCAATTATTTTGTCAACTAACTTTTCCGAACTATGACATTGGACATTTTGGAGGCAAATCTAATATTTTTTTGAGTAACAATATTACCTATTGCTACAACGTAGACTTACATTATAAATTTTCGACCGCAATAAGAACTATTGCTTGGACTTTACTCGGAAAATTAGGCGAACCAGCCGCCATCCGAGGGCCGTCTCTTAAAAAAACAAAGAAGAACGAAGTATCCTAAGAGGAACCAATTCCCGAGACGTGCACTGCACTCGCTGCAGTAGGTGGCCTCCTTCAATTAGATGAACTTTATTAGCAGCAAAAACGAAATAACTTTAAACAGCTACCACTATTTATAACCAAGTGATATCGAGGACTATATAATAATAAAAATAACTAATTAATATTATTACTCACATGAAAAAAACTGTAAATTAATATTTATCAACAATAAGTTATCTGCATTTTTATTTTAAGTATTTTGTTTATGCATTTAAAAATATTATCAGCTACAATAATTCCAGTTAAACCAATACTGCTTTATCAGTATGAATTTTCATGTAAACTGCTTTTGTTGGTCCTTCGAATTATGCAAATAACAAATTAGGTATAAATTACAGATAAATATCGTTACTTGCAGTCAACAGAACAATGTTGTTATGCGTGTTTCTTGTTCTCCTGCTTCTGAATTACGTGCATACTTCACAAGGTGTCCAGGTGTCTACACCTCTTGGTCAAATTGTAGGAACAACACTAACGACTCGTTTAGGCAAAACTATCTATGCGTTTCGAGGAATCCGGTATGGGAAACCACCGATTAATGAACTCCGTTTTAAAGTAAGTTATTTATTAATTTCTGCTTAATGTAATCAATAAGTATAAACATACAGATGTAAGTGCATTTCTACTTTCGGAGGCAAGCTTTCAACATTTCATGACATCTAGACTCTAGAACATGAAAAAATTGGTCTCCCATTTTCGGATGTCTATCTACCGTCTGCCATTTGTCCGCCGTCTGTGTCGCTTTTTATTAGACAGATAATCTCCGAAACTAGTGGATCGATTCCGTCAAATTTTATATTTATGTTAGGAATATTGCGCAGATGGTAAAACACTAACGAAAATTTGCTTGGTCAATGCTCATACACACCAAGAATGGGTCAGCAAATTTTACTTAATTAACGTACTCCTGTATTTGTGGTTTATGAATCCGGGTAGAGTTTTTATCCTAGACATCTAGATTTTTGGAAAAAAATTCAAAATTGTATAACAACAGTTTGCAATTTAATTTTGAAACCGAACACTCTGAAACTTACAAATGTTTTAAGGTTATCGTAAATATGGTAAATCGTTAATCAAAATTTATCCTTTTAGTCCCTCCCAAAAAATTGTAGACGTGATTCCAAATTTTTGCCTATTGAACCTCAGCGAAACTATGCAAAAAGAGTTTATATGGTACTTGTGGTTTATCAATGCCTTCATATTTGTTAGAATTAGGTACTTACAGGGTGGGTTAAAATATTAATGAATGAGGCTATATTTTATTAAGTCAAGAACGGCTTACCCAAATTTCCCGAAATTTTGAGTACCTATGTAGTACTGTTATCATGATCATATTACACTGCACTTTTTCAAATTGATATATGGATCCTTGATAAAATGTTGTTAACTTCATCACAAAATTTTGCTATGGAACAACTCACTTCAAATATACTCATAGCATGCTTCATTACCTGTACTTTAATAATCCACACATATGTTCGTTTTAACCTACAGAGGTTATCATGAAAAAAATTAAACTTGCAACATTTAATTTAACACCAGTACTTCAGGAGCGCGGAAAGTTCTGTTTAAATATCGTTTGAACAATTTTTATTATTGTAGCCTCCACAACCCGCTGAACCATGGTCCGGAATCTACAACGCTGTTAACGATGCACCGGTTTGCCCACAACCTGGTATTACACCCGTTTCGGAGGACTGTCTATTTCTCAATGTCTACACAACCAAGGTGCTTTCCTATTTAAACTATCTGTATTTCTCTACGTAAGGGTAACATACTAACACATAAAATTTGTGGAAATACAAAAAAAAAACAGCAAAACGTGATTTTACCCTAATTAGGCTAAATAGAAGACTCGAAGAAATTTCAGACTGACGATTGTTTACAAATTTTTGAAAATGTTGCAAGCAATACATGATCGTTTTCCGGGTTGGAACCGTGTTAATTGAGTTTTTGGGCTCAACGTTTCGCACACTTTCGTAAGTGGCATTTTCAGGAGCAGGATGAAGAATAAGGTAAAAGAGCATGGTAACTCGTTGAGCCCAAAAACTCAGTTAACACGGTTCCAAAACGATCATGTCTTGATTCCGACTGTGAAAGTCTCCGAAATTATGTTGCAAATAAATTTCAAATAAGTAAGCATTACGAAAACATATTTAAGTTTTTAATATATCAGAACAAATGCTACTTTGACCATCACTAAGTGCTGAGACACAATGAACTAAATGAAGCATACATTTTTTGTCAAAATAAAGAGTTTACAACTACTGTTCCATCATCTGTTGGTTAAATTATTGGATTAAAATTGAAATACGCAGCTCCCCACTGGAGGAAACAACCCTAAACGTCCAGTAATAATACATCTGCACGCTGGAGGGTTTTATAGTGTCACTGGTCGCAGCAACTGGGCAGGGCCGCAATACTTCATGGATCAAGATATAGTTATGGTAACTTTAAATTATCGGTTAGCTACGTTGGGTTTTATTAGTGTTGGTGAAGAAGCACCTGGAAATAACGGACTAAGAGATCAAGTAATAGCAATGAAGTGGGTTCAGAAAAATATAGCATCATTTGGTGGAGATCCAAATTCTGTTACTCTCTATGGATACAGTGCAGGTGCTTGGAGTATCACTCTCCATATGGTTTCTCCAATGTCGCGTGGTTTGTTCCACAAAGCTATTCTTGGCAGCGGATCTGCACTGGGACATTGGCCTTTGCCTAGACATCAGCTGGACTTAGCTAAAAAACAGGCTAGAATTGTAGGGTGTCCAGATGATAATGCAACGGTGATAATAGATTGTCTCAGAAAAACACCTGCAGAAGAACTAGGAAACTCTTTCTTCCAGTTTGCTGTAAGCAACATTTTTTGATAAATATAAATTTTTAATAAATAGTTTAGGAATTTGGTACCGATCCTATACTTATTTGGTCACCAGTTATTGAAGGAGATTTCGGACAAGAACAATTTCTTCCAGACAATCCAATTAAATTAATTAAAAGTGGAAAATTTGAACAAGTTCCTGTAATAGCAGGAATTACCAAAGATGAGTTTGCTCAAAGAGCTTTTCGTAAGTGACCAAACCATTTAATGTGTTATGTGTTTCTGTAACTTTTTATTTTAAATATTTTAGCAATATTAACTAATGCTAGTTTATTGCAACAAGTCAACAACGATTTTGAAACATACGCACCAATTATGTTTATTTACGAAAGGGGAACCTGTAAGTCAAAGGAAGTCAGTAAAAGTGTACGTCAGTTTTATTTTGGTGTCGATCCGATAACGAATGCATCATTGCAAAATTTAGAAAATGTAATTTATTGACGCAAATTAAAATTTTTAAATACATACCATAAATTTTAGGCATACTCTGATTCCATTGTTGGGTTTCCAGCTAACAGAGCTGTTGATTTAATATCTACCTACAGCAGTAAGCCTGTATACTATTACCAGTTTACCTATCAAGGACGATATAGTCATTTCTACCTTCCTGACTCTAACGGAACTATACCAAACGGTAAATTACAGATAGTAAATGTGAAATTAATATTTCATTTTTTTTATTTAAGGTGTGGCTCATCATGACGATTTAATTTATTTGTTCTACATTTCTCCACTGTTTCCATTTTTCAATTCTAGCTTTCCAGAAAGTAAAATGGTAGAAACACTATCTTCCCTTTGGGCTAATTTTGCTGCTACAGGGTAAGTTCTAAATGTAACAAATTTAATTTCATTGAGGCTTAATATTTTATAATAGTGATCCCACTGACTGCAGCCTTAGCGAAAACATTGGCGACATTGAATGGACACCGTATGACACAATCACAAAAAAATACTTGGAAATTGGAGAAAAACTGACTGTTAAAGAAAAATTGTTCGAGGATAGATACTCATTTTGGAGGAATTTATATCCACTTTCTTCGAAGTTATAGATTTTACTTAATTAAGCCTGTTTGCGAAGATTTTACACTTTGAAGATAAAGATTTAAGTGAACATCTGTACTAATTAAAAAAATACAATAAATTCTTGTAGAGCAAATTATAAAGACTTAATTTCATTTCGTTCTTATTTTGTAGCTGGCAGTCTAAAAATTACAAAAACGTATTTTTTGTCGGAATTACTAAAGCAACTACTGTTTGTCAGATAGAAAACCAGAATGTTAATTTTTTTAGTCCTTTTTACTTACAACGATAATAACAGATGAATGATGAAAATAGTATATTATTAGCCAAGGTTGCAAAGCCAGGCATTCTAGACCGAGCGCAAATTAAAACCCGAGACGCGCAGCATCGAGGGCTCTGAAGCGCGTGGTTAATATACTATTTTTTTCACTAGTAGAAACCATACGACAATAAATTGAAAAAATAAACGTTCAATTTTTTGACGCAATATGATTTTGTTTTGATTTCTAATAAAACTTAATCTAAATCTTCAATACAAAGAAAACCGTTTACACTTGTCGCTGAATTAATCATTTTATCTTCTACCGTCTACGAACTACCATGCGTATACTCAAGTAATGTTAGTAGCACACATTTATTCATTTTTTAAGAAATTAGCACATCAAGTATTGCGTACATAACCTCAATCTTCTTTTTGAACCCGTGACAGAATTTACTATACACCAATCAAAGCATTCAACAGTCCACATATAAGACGCAATCTTTACCCAAATATGGGCAGAATTTACTGACCGCCAATCAGAACACTTCAATTAAAAGCTAAAATGACCTGGATTCAGGGTCGTCACCAGCATTAACTCTGTTTAGTACGACCGTTTCATTACCTGGCTGATCTGATAGCCGAAAAAAACATAGGGGACATATTCCTTAACCAATTCTAACGGCGTTACATCTATCTGATTCAACCGTTTGCTTGGTTGGCCACGATATCCACTTCCACTCTCAGGCAAAAGTAGCCCCGAAAACTTGCTCAAGGCACCAATGCCAAAAATGCATTAAGAAAATCTGTATATAATAATTGTATTATTTAAAAGAAATTGTTTTTATAAAATTGTTGTTAGTCACCATTACGGGCATATAAAAAAAAATGGTCGAAATTGGTGGAATTTGGACAAAACCCTCGCCCGGAACGGAAAGTCAAAACATTCTCAAATTTAACTTGGAGAATTTTCTTTTCTTTTGACGATGAGCTAAAATTAATATATGCGTGGATGATTAAAGTACAGGTAAAGAAGCATCGTTTTTAGTGCCTTTTATATTATTAAATAAATATTATATTATAAATTATGACGTCATCAACATTTTAACAAGGACACGTATCCGGAAAATGGGATGGACAATGAAACATGTCGCTCTATTCATTATTTTTTTTAATCACCTGGCATAAGTATTTCAAAAAAATATGAATACATTGATAAACTACAAGTAACTTTTAATACTGTGCTTATTTAGGTTTATTCGGTGAAAATTTGAGATATCATCATTTTTTTTCGGGAGGGGATAAATGAACAAATTTTGATTAACGACTTACCAAGCTTACGATAGTCGTAAAATGTTTGCAAGGCCTCATCAAAGCATTCGGTTTTGCAATTCCAATATTAAATTGCAAAATGTTACACAATTTTGATTTTTTAATAACCCAATAGATGGATTCATAAATCACACATGCAGGAATAAGTTATTTTAATTAAATTTAAATAACATTTATTCGGCAAAATTGAAAGATGTAATTGTAAATGAACGATTTATTATGTTTCCGATAAACCTAAAACGTTTGCAAGCTCCCAGAGTATTCGGTTTTGTAATTTCAAAGTTGAATTTTAAAATGTTATACAATTTTGATTTTTTTACAAAAGCCTAGGGCAGAAACTCAGCACGATTTTTTTTTAGAAAATTTAAATAACGCTTAATATTTTAAAAGTTGGAGATGACGTCACAGATGATCAGACAAATTTTGGTCTATTCCTAATATACGTACAAAATTTGACAACAATCGGTCTGATAGTTTCGGAGATAATTTGTCTAATAAAATTTGACACAGACGCGGGCAGACGGCAGACAAAGACCTATTTTTTCGTACTGTAGGGGTCATGAAACGTCAAGACAACATGAAAGCAGCAAGTCCAATGGACTCGATTACAATACTTCCTTAGCTTACGCTGTTGGAGTAAAAACTAGTTGCACCCTTCTCTTCAAGGTGGCGGCCGAATGACAGCACCACCAATTCCGAAAACTCAGTTTTACACTCACGGCCAACCCCCCTACGAAACCACCCCATATTTTATGGGGCCCCTGCCTACTCAAAATGTATGATCTGATGCTTCATTGACTTATTAGTTCGCCATATTAAAATTGTATTCTTTTTGAGTTGTCCTTGCGTATACAATCATATATAAAATGAACAAAATATATTGTTTTTACCTTGCAATTATTTTAAATTGTATGTAATACAAAAAATCAATAATACAATTCTTATTTAAATGTGTGTAAACAGGTCTACAATGTTTTCGTGTCTGCCAGTGATCTCTTCGCAGGCAAAGAGTCTTACTCGAAAGACGAATTTCAAATACGAACAGGATTCTTGGATTCAATCCTGCGCTACATAAACATATCGCAATGATGAACCATGTTCCATTATTTCAACCTTTTTATAATAATCTTATGGTGCATTTTAAATTCCAGGTTTCCAAAATTTATATGTCTAAAGAAATCAAACATTCGTCATTCGTCAAAATAGCTCGTAAAATTTGATTACAACAACTGTGTTCGTTCGTAGTCACGGCAGATAAAAACAACCGCAATGAATAAAATTCCGTATACTAATCCGTATAAGTGAGCTTTAAAAAGTTATAAATCTTGGAATGTTGGACTTTCCCGGTCAGTAACATAATGGGAATATAATACAAGAGATCAGAATAAAGAAAAATAAATATTATGCTTTTGAAAATAAGTAATTAATATCATTATTATTATTATGATTATTTTATTTTTATGCAATTAAAAATATTATCAGTTAAAATAACTTCAGCTAAAACCAATACTGTTTTTATCGTAGGGAATTTCCACGTAAATTGCTTTTGGTAGTTCTTCGAATTATGCAAATATTAAGATAGTTATAAATCACCGACACGACACCGTTTTTCCAGTCAGTAAAACAATGTTGTCACGCGTGTTTCTTGTTCTCGTGCTTCTGAATTACGCGATTTCTACACAAAATGTTCAAGTCCCTACACCTCTTGGTAAAATTTTAGGAACAACATTAACAACTCGTTTAGGAAAAAGTTTTTATGCGTTTCGAGGAATTCGGTACGCGAAACCACCAGTTAATGAACTCCGTTTTAAAGTAAGTTAGTTATCAGTTTCTGCTTAGTGTAATCTATACAAATAATAAACATACAGGTTCAAGTGCATTTTTAATATTATAGCCACCACAACCTGCTGAATCGTGGACTGGAATCTACAATGCTACTAGCGATGCACCGGCTTGCCCACAACCTGGTAGCAGCAGTACTACTCCCGTTTCGGAGGACTGTCTGTTTCTTAATGTCTACACAACTAAGGTGCTTTTCGTATTAGACTATTTATACTCTTCTAGAGGTGCTAATATGTACATTCAAACATAAAATTTATGGCAATAGAAAAGTCAGGTAAAACTTAAAGCGTGATTTTATCCTAACTAGTTGAGTACCTATTTGACGATTTGAACAAATTTCAGTTAAAAAACACAAATTTAATGCAACGTCGTGTCGTGATAAAACCACATTTTCAAGCTTTAGAATTTTGCACTAATACATACAGTTAAAAATGATCCATTGGATTTTCAACAGAAAATGTACACTATAGAATAAGCAGCCTATTTTTAATATAATCTCAGTGCGAGAACTCTCAGGAAAACACGGCTGGCCTAATAAGTGGAGCGAATTTTTGGATTCGTCATATTACTAATATAAACACAACATATAACAGTAACTATAAAAAAAAACAGTCTTGCCCAATGTAGTAGGTACCTAGACTAACTAGAATAAGGAACTCACTCTGAGAAAAAGTTTTTGTCGCAGTCTATAATGGTTCCATAAAGGCATCTACCTGTTCCATTTATCAGCTAAATTATTGGATTAAAAATGAAATTTGCAGCTCCCTGCTGGAAGGAACAACCCTAAACGTCCAGTAATAATATATTTGCACGCTGGAGGATTTTACAGTGTCACTAGTCGCAGCAACAGGGCGGGGCCGCATTACTTAATGGACCAAGATATAGTTTTGGTAACTTTAAATTATCGGTTAGGTACGCTGGGTTTCCTTAGTATTGGCAAAGAAGCACCTGGAAATAATGGATTAAGAGATCAAGTACTAGCAATGAAGTGGGTTCAAAATAATATAGCATCATTTGGTGGAGATCCAAATTCTGTTACTCTCTATGGGTACAGTTCAGGGTCCCGGAGTACCACTCTCCATATAGTTTCTCCAATGTCGCGTGGTCTGTTCCACAAAGCTATTCTTGGCAGCGGGTCTGCACTGGGACATTGGCACATGCCCACAAATCAGTTGGATTTAGCCAAAAGGCAGGCTAGAATTGTAGGATGTCCAGATGATAATGCAACAGTAATAATAGATTGTCTAAGAAAAACACCTGCAGAAGAATTGGCAAACTCGTTTTTCCAACTTACTGTAAGTAAGAGTATTTCATATTTTTGAACCCAAATTTTTGATAAATATTTTAGGAATTTGGATTCGATCCTATACTGATATGGACACCAGTTATTGAAGAAGATTTTGGACAAGAACGATTTCTCCCAGATCATCCAATTAAATTAATTAAAAGTGGAAAATTCGCACAAATTCCTGTAATAGCAGGAATTACCAAAGATGAGTTTGCTCAAAGAGCTTTTCGTAAGTGACCACACCACTTAATGTGTTATGTGTTTTTTCTGAATTCTTATTTTTAAATATTTTTAGCTGTATTAGCTAATGCTACTTTATTGCAACAACTCAACAGCGATTTTGAAACTTACGCGCCAATTATGTTTATTTACGAAAGGGGAACCAAGAAATCAAAAGAAGTCAGTAACAGTGTACATCAGTTTTATTTTGGTGTCGATCCGATAAATAATGCGTCTTTACAAAATTTAGGAAATGTAAGTTTTTGGCAAACAAAATTAAAATTCTTAAATATATACTTGCCACAATTTTTAGGCATACTCTGATTCTATTGTTGGGTTTCCAATCAACAGAGCTGTTGATTTATTATCTACATACAGCAGTAAGCCGGTATATTATTACCAATTTACTTATCAAGGACGGTATAGTCACTTTTATCGTCCTGACTCTAACGGAACTATACCAAATGGTATGTACTCTCGAGCTAGAAATTGCGAAATTTATATTATAGTTTTGATTTAAGGTGTGGCTCATCATGACGATTTAATTTACTTGTTCTACATTTCCACAAGGTATCCATTTTTTAATGCTAGCTTTCCAGAACGTAAAATGGTAGGAACGTTAACTTCCCTTTGGGCTAATTTTGCTACTACAGGGTAAGTGCTAAATATACTACATTTAATTCCTGGGATAATTCTGACGCTTAATTTTTTTAATAGTGATCCAGCTGACTGCAGTCATAACGAAAACATTGGCAACATTGAGTGGACACCGTATGACACAACCACGAAAAAATACTTGGAAATTGGAGAAAAACTCACTCTTAAAGAAAAATTGTTCGAGGATAGATACTCATTTTGGAGAAATTTATATCCACTTTCTTAGAACTTGTAGATTTGACTTAATTAAATTGAATAGAACAACGATTATAAAGGTTTAGGATAAAAAATAACTTCCGAATTATTTAAAAATTACGTTTATTTTTATGTGTAGGTATGTAATGTATAATAATAATGATTAGAAGAGATTCAACTTCGAAGTTTTCGTTCCTCTTGTTATTTCTTGAGGATTTCCATTACAAAACCTTGCAACCGTCATAAAATATTCTGGAGAAAATGAATTGGTGTTATGAGAAAAGTAGTATAAAATCTAAACTTCTCACAAACGTATTACCTATCTTACTTATAAAATTTCATGCTTATTTTGTTGCTGGTAGTCTAAGATCTACAAAAACGTTTGTCGAAATCACTGACATTAATCTGCGAATGTTTCTCAGATAGCAAACTAGAATGTTACTCCTTTAAGTAATTTTTTCTAAAGCCAAATTTTTTGAGATAAGCCTCGGTTTTTATAAACGATGAGTATCTTTTTTCAACCGGTAATTAAATAAGTACGAAGTAATAACATATGTAATTTTCTATATATAAAACTAAATTTTGTAGGTTCACATTGCTATGATCTTAACATTTAAATAAACGATAACTCTCCACCCTGGCAGATAATAATTAGTTAATTTTGGAATTTCATATGTTTCGCTAATCTGCTATCATTGACAATACTAATAAATCTTAATAAGTAATTAAAACTGATAGATAACAAGCATGATAACTTCGTAGCAAATCTTGTAAAAAGACGTATGATCTGGTGCATGCTGGATTTTCTTTTGTCTGTATTAAAAATATCTGTCAGTGGATAGTTACGATTGTGTAAGTAATGTAGTTTGTATTACCGCCAGTAACAGTAGGCACTTGAAATATCTTTTACTTCCTCTTGTCTTGTTAAAGCTCGTTTACTGTCGTCTGAACTAACTCGGTAAATTAGCCTTTACACGCACCCTGCCTGTAAAGCGTTACCGTGGCAGCTTTACAGGCACCTTGCCTGTAAAACGTTATCATGACAGCACCGGAATCAAACACACATTCGATGCGTCGCCCTTTTTCTTAATCTCACTAATACTGTGCTAATACTAACGTTAAAATCACCTTCAAACTCTTCATCTTCATCGAATTCCACAATTAACAGAGCTCAGAAGCAAAATTAAACCATTTAAATTATTAATCGAATTTACAAATTGACAGTCGCGTTATTTTCAAACAATTCAATTTTCCATAGTTACCGGAGCAAACTATGGAAAATGACTATAATTTCTATGACTGTAATTTCAAGTAAAATTTCTAGAGATCCCTAAGTTGTTCATTTTCAGGATTTTCAGCAAGAGGAAGTAAAACGTTGTACGCGGCTCGCTTGCAACTAGCCTTTACTGGGGCTCACCGGATTACAGGACTCGCTCCTACGTCGCTCGCCCTGCAAACATTCCGGCTCGCCCGTAAAGGCTAATTTACTAAGCTTGCCACGTAAATAACTATTACTTCCTCTTGTCTTGTTAAAACTCATTTACTGTCGTCTGAACTAACTCGGTAAATTAGTCTTTACACGCACCCTGCCTGTAAAACGTTACCATGGTAGTTTTACAGGCACCGTGCCTGTAAAACGTTATCATGACAGCTTTACAAGCACCTTTTTCTTAATCTCACTAATACTAACGTTAAAATCACCTTCAAACTCTTCATTTTCATCGAATTCCATAATTAATAGAGCTCAAAAACAAAATTAAACTATGTATTTAAATTATTAATCGAATTTACGAATTGACAGTCGCGTTATTTTCAAACAATTTAATTTTCCATAGTTACCAGTTATAATTTCTATGACTGTAATTTCAAGTAAAATTTCTATGCCAAAGTTGTTAATTTCAGGATTTTGAGTAAGAGGAAGTAAAAAATGTTACTGGCTGCCAGTAAAATTTTTACAGCCCTGCTCGTGCTCATACCGGCATGTATTTTAAACACTTTAAACTATTATAAGTAGAGAGCGGATTTATAAGCATAAAAAATTAAGAATAAGCGCATAAAAGCACAACATTTTCAATAAAAAAGTTTTATTTTAAGCAAAAAAGCATTAAAAACATAATCATATTACAAATCAAAGAACCCTTCTTAGAACTTTGGATAAAATATTATTACAATAATCCTAGACTTTATATTTTACACACGTATTTCAGTTTTCTTTAAAACAATTTATGATTGTAATATGTTCCAAGTTGTCCACTGTAAAATTTTTTCGCCGATTATTTAAAATGTGTTTAAAATTGGAGAATGTGCGTTCAACATCCACACTCGTTGTTGGCGCAAATTTGAATTTGCAACTAATGTTGAATCTAACTCCAAATTTTCCACCTTCTGGCCTTGTAAAACACGAGCAACGTCGGAAAGAACACCGAAACCTGCATTTTTATTTAACACTTCGTCAAGTTTTTGAGATACTCTAGTACCAATATCACCCCTTACCTTTACTGCGTTTGCTTGTTGTTTAAATTCTTTCACTAAGTTTATGGCATCTACCAACAACATGTTGGGTTTTTCTAACTTTTCTATTATCTCACATACGAATTGATAATTGCTTCTTAGAAAAGCTAGATCTTGTCGCAAATCTTTGTTTTCCAAAATATTTATGCAATGTTTAATCGATTGAGAAGAATTTTCGCTAAACTCCGTAACTAATTCCTCAAATTCTTTGATATATTTGTCATAATAAAATGTGGCCTGTAACCATGTTCCCCACCTCGTTACAATCGGCTCTGGGGGCAATGGTATGTTTGGAATTTTTTCCTTAAAATGTTGCACTCTTAGTGGGGCTTTAACAAAAATCTTTTTACCATTTGCCACTAATTTATTAATAGTAGGAAACTGCAAACGTATTCCTTCAGCCACTCTGTTTAAACCGTGGGCAATGCAAGTAGAGTGAATTAAATTGGGGTACAATATTTTTAGATTATTCCCTGCTTTCAACATATAACGAGCTGCATCCGAGATCATCAAAAAAATTTTATTCGCCGGTACGGCATTTGGCAGAAATAGTGACGTAAGACCGTCATTTACAAATCTGGTAATCGTATTGCCATTTGTTTTATCTTACATTTTCAAACTTACTACATACCCTCGACTAGGGAAATTTTCATTTAAGATTCCAACAATTAAACTTGCCACGTATCTTCCACAACTATCGGTTGTTTCATCGACAGCGAACCATAAATAATTATCTCCAATGCGATGTTTAATTTCGTTGTAAACTTGCTGAAACACTGGGCCTACATAATTTTTTCGGAGAGTACTTTCAACCGGAATATGTCGATTGCAGTGTTTTTCAAGGAATTCTTGAAGAGGGCCTTTCTCCAATTTTTTTAAAGGTATATTGGACTGGATCATTATTTTACATAAATCGAAATTAAACTGAAACTGCTCATCTTTTGTGGAAGTAGATGCAACAGATTCATGTATGGTCTGCTGTTTAATTTTAGAAACTTCAAACATTTTCTTCCTTTCTACATGAAGAGTCGTTCTGACATGTTGCGTCACGTTATATTTTTTATCACTTTGAATCTAAAACAACCTACATATACAGGATTAACAAAGGAAAATAGATAAACAAAAAATTAGTGGGCTTACGGTTTTCACACAAGCTCTGCAGAATATTTTGTTGTTTTCTAATTTTAATTCTGGAAAATCCCTTATCCACTCATCCGGCGTCGATTTTACTTTCGGCATTCTTTTAAAATATTAGTAATATTACCAAAAAGAACTCAACATGTAACAAGGGTACAAGGGAGAACCACGTATAACACTGTACTACGACAGATGCGATAGACTGATGGTTGTGAAATAAACGGTTCATTTACTTAAAAGTTTCCATTAGAAAATTTTAAGGTAAGTAGTTGGGTACAATAATCCTTTTTTCTAGAAAATCTTCAAGGGTCTTGCTGCAAAATGCCGAAAAAGAACATCTGGTTAAAAGCTTTAATTCATTGTCAACGGAAGTAAGGATTTAAAGTCATAAAATCTATGGAGTATTTTTCCAATCCTATAATAAAATTTTATTACCCAAACGACCGGAACCTATTCACAGAAAGGGTCTTGAGTAATGTACTTCAATGGTCAAGTCCAAGTAAAATGCATACGCTACGATACGGCTAACTAACAAGTATTTGTCATCCTGACAAGGCCGGCATTTGAACAAAATATGCATTAAAACTCATATTCGTCGAAAAAAGCATTAAATAAACATATAAGTTTTAATATGCATAAAATTGAAAAAAAAAAGCAAATAAGCATTAAAAAAATGTGTCAAATGACTCCAAATTGTATCATAGTTACAGATATAAAAAAGTTTTGAAGTGCTTACATTTTTCGCACAAAGCATTAAACCTAGAAATCCGCTCTCTAATTATAAGTTTAAATGACAGCCAAAATTGATTCAGGTAAATTTTCACTCATAATTGCTGCTTCCTCAGTAATATAGCTTGCACCACACTCATTTCAATACACCGAAAACGATAAATCGAAAAATCTAAATAACAGAACTAGACAACACAGTAAATGCTATGACAAGTGCCATGCTGACGTGCGTTTCTAAGGTAATACGTCTAAAGCTCATACTATGTTTCTTCAAATATTGGACCTTCTAGAGTTTTTAATAATTTATAATAGTTATTTAGAAGTGAGAAACAAATAAAATATTGAACAATACACGCAAGGTAACGGGTTTTTACTGGGTCCAGAAGGTGACTAGCTCGCCTGCGGCTCGCCAGTCATATCCTTCTGTCCGCCAGTAAAAACCCTTTTACCATGCTAGTAATGTTAAATACTATTTTGCAAAGGCATTGATAGAAAATCCTTCTTCGATACGATACGAATGATTAGATAATGCCGTTTGCCCCGGGGTTCCCTCAAATTATGCGCCACGACTCAGGAAAGCCCCAACAACTATTATATTCTGTGCATAATGCTACGATGAGGGCACAAAACTCTGTTCTCTTTTATCCTATTTTCATATTTCTGTTTACTGTCATTTATTGTTCTCTTTATTATGCACAATCTTTTCCTAGACTTATGCAAGGTTTTAAATTACCCTTCTCCCCTTCCGAAATAGCTCGTCACAAGTCCGGGACCTAAGGGTCATTTTTTGTGACGGCCACC